GCCAAATGATTGCTGAAAAAAAAAAAATCATAGTATATAAATTTTTCGTTAGATTAAATAATTTGGCAACAAAAGTGAGATGATGAGATTCTAATAAACATAAAGTCGATTTGATCTTACATTTTGGATAACAATGTTGAATGTGTACTGACTTTTTACAGGTTTTATATATATTATCTGTTTCACTCAATATGCCAATCATGATCAATTATGAATATGATTCGTCATCAACCTTTAGTGGCATTTCTTATTTATTTGAGACGAAAATCTTTTTTTATTTACTTATATATAAAATACAAAAGTCTATTGTTTACTTTACAAATGCTTGGTAACTATAAATGTATGTACTTAAGAAAATAAATTTATTGACGAACAAAAGTTGTAATGTTTTTCATCACACACATCGAACACATTTTATGAATTAAAGGAGTGCGCTTTTGCTATGTTATTTCGACCAGTGTTGGGCACACAATATTCGTATTAAATTAACACAAATAAAAAAAAATTATTTGCACGACGTTAAAACTTGATTATTTTTAAAACGACAGTGGTCCATTTCAAATGTGCAAATATTTTAATATTTTGGTAAAATTAATTTAGTGTTATTTAAATCGTGAAGATTAGAAGCTGAGTGAAGACAGAGTTATACAAGACCGGCACTGCGCGATGGTTGGTGATAACTTGAGAGAGTCAAAACTCCAATGGCCTAAGAAAGAGGGAAAGTAAGAAATAAATGATTCACCAACTTTTCCTGGTAAAAAATCAAACAAAACTGTACAGGTAACTCAAAATTTTCGAGAAACTTGTAATTGAATCTCTTCCCTCACCAACCACACTCATGAACAACAAAACACAACATAATTGCCATTACCATCTCATATTTAAAAAGACACGAATTTTGGTAAAAGATAATTTCGCAGGCCTTGAGGATGTTTGTCCAAAAGTGGAGGAGGCAAATGTGAAATATAAAAATTCGGCATATCTATTTTATTAAACCTTCAAAACATTAAGGTATTATTTAATTTTAAGTTTAATTTAACTTCATATAGCTTATTTATAAAGATTTATATTTATTTTAAGATTTAAATTAGTCTTATTTCTAGTTTACGTTACATGCTTTATTTTTTTTTTCTAAAAATAGTGAAAGTGTAAAAGAAATAATTATGTGTAAGTATGAAAATGAGAAATAGTATAGTTGAAGGATTAGGTTAGGTGAGTGGGGTTGGCATCTATTTTCCCTATAAAAAGACACTCTCCACGTAACTTTTGTCACCATACACTTCACCAGTTTTTCCTTCGTTTTCTTCTACTTTCCCTTCCATTCCCTAACAACAACGTCATCATCATCATCACCATGCCTTCTGCCGAATCATTGCCACCTTCCTCCCAAACAATCTGTGTCACCGGCGCCGGTGGCTTCATCGCATCTTGGATGGTAAAACTTCTCTTGGAGAAAGGCTACACTGTGAGAGGAACACTCAGAAACCCAGGCACGTGATTTCACCACATTACACTAAGCACACAAACAGTTAGTTTTAACTTTGATTTGTAGCTGAAGTTAAAGTTATGTGATTTGTGACGTGGGGAGGGGCATGCATGAATTTTGGATTTCTCTTTTCAGATGATCCCAAGAACGGACACTTGAAAGAGTTTGAAGGAGCCTCCGACAGACTAACTCTGCATAAGGTTGACCTCCTTGACGTTGACTCCGTTAGATCAGTAATTCACGGCTGCCATGGTGTCTTTCACACAGCTTCTCCCGTCACCGATAACCCCGTCAGTTTCTTTTTCTCCTTTGCTTTCTATATTTGTTCATTCACGTCTTAACTTACCCAAAACCCCCAACAAACCGCTGCAAAAGCAAAGTACCCCACTACTGTTGGACATGATCTATCTATCGTATGTGTTGAGTAAAATATAAGCATACTTAATTTATCTATGTAATTAGTTTTTTGGTTAATATGGCTATTGTTTGCACTGTTTTTGTGGTTGAAAATTATCATTGCTGGTATATGATTTTTATGTTTAAACTGTTATAAAAGTATGGTAGAAGTCAAGCAAATCTTGCTTGATACCAGGGCAAGTGGCTATATTATGTGTGTGAAAATATCTGCTGGTGGGTGACCACTGCTGCATGATCGTGACTTTCTGGTTGTTCATCCATTTGTTGTAAATAGTTTCTTTGCAAATTTGATTTGGGGGCAAAAGGAATTAGTTAAATGGACCCTTTGAATCATGCAGGAAGAAATGGTGGAGCCAGCAGTGAATGGAGCGAAGAATATTATCATAGCAGCTGCAGAGGCAAAAGTACGACGTGTGGTGTTCACCTCATCGATTGGTGCCGTATACATGGATCCCAAAAGGAGCATCGATTTGGTGGTTGACGAGTCTTGTTGGAGTGATTTAGAGTATTGCAAGAACACTAAGGTTCCATTTACCTACCCAATAATATCGATTAATGATAATTTTATTGACAAAGTAACTTGAAGGGGATAGTGAAAAATGGTATTTTGAAACGATATTGCAGAATTGGTACTGCTATGGGAAAGCTGTGGCTGAACAAGCAGCATGGGACACTGCCAAAGAGAAAGGAGTGGACTTGGTTGTAGTGAACCCTGTATTGGTTCTTGGACCATTACTACAACCAACCATCAATGCTAGCACGATTCACATCCTCAAGTACCTCACTGGCTCTGCCAAGACCTATGCAAATGCCACACAGGCTTATGTGCATGTGAAGGATGTGGCATTGGCCCACATACTTGTTTATGAAAAGCCTTCTGCTTCCGGTCGATACTTATGTGCTGAAAGCTCCCTGCACCGTGGAGAATTAGTTGAAATTCTGGCAAAGTATTTTCCTGAGTACCCAGTTCCCACCAAGTAAGACATTCTGCCATCATATTTACAATCACTGAATTATTTATGGTGCCAATGTGCATAGGAAATGATAATTGCCAGATATTATTTATGATTTTAACTTCTTCTGTTAGACATTGAATTTGTCGATTCTTATGTTTTTCAGCTCACCATATCCACATGTAGGAATTTTTCTTTAATTTATGTTTAAATGAGCTGAGTTCATCTTAATCCACATAGACTAGATCAGTTGAGGTTGTGTATGACCTATAACATTCACATTCTGCATTTTCGTGTCCCGCACGAGTGTTGGAAAATGACATCTAAATTTATTTGCTTACCCTTAAAACTGAGTTTGTGTCTGGATGACCTCAGGCTCTCGTATGGACAGTTAGGTAAACCTTAAGATCCCATTGCAATGACATACTTTTCTTCCAAAAATTATCCTCATATTTTACTGAAGAATATGACAGTTTTGGTTAATGGAAAATGTCCAATTCTGATATGATTTTTTAATAAACTTGATAATGCAATGATATGGCTACACCTGGTGGGTGGTGGTGGTGGTGGTCACTCCATTTGAGGTTATAAGTGGCTGTGAATGAAAAGGTGTTTGGATTGGAGTAGGTATACCAACTTTGACTTGTCTATGTAATCGTCCACTCACGCATGCCTCAAAAAAATTCAATTATTTTGTTTGTAAAAACAAATGGAGCGTACGAGTCCTTACCAAACCCAATGTCTTTGTCACTTGGTAGAGTGACTCTCAGATTTGACCCACCTCTTCCACTATCACACTGGCCTGCTAAATAATTTTATTAATGTTGTATTTTTTTTATTGAAGATGGCCAACACAAACGGGTTTGGTGATTTGTATAGTGACGTAAATATTTGAACTTTTGCAGGTGTTCCGATGAAAAGAATCCCAGGGCAAAACCATACACCTTTTCAAACCAGAAGCTCAAAGATTTGGGATTGGAATTCACTCCAGTGAGTCAGTGTCTGTATGAAACGGTTAAGAGTCTGCAGGAGAAAGGGCACCTTCCTGTTCCTGCAAAGCAGGAAGATTCAACTACAGTGAAATCATGAACAAGATAGCCCTTTTATTTCATTTGTCAATACCAGTTTAATTCTGGGTTAGCTCATGTTGTTATAAGAGAATCCCACGACAGAAAACTGTATTTGGATTTTTGTAAATGGACATCAACCATATTGTTGCCATTTATGGACTTAATGATATTAATGATATTTTTAATTTTGTTTTCAAATAATATTGTCCCCAGCAAAAATGTCCGACTTCCTTTATGGGGAGAAGAATATTAGCTAAACTCTGAATTCAAAAGAAAAGATTCCTTCTTTATTACAAGGAAATCGAGTGAAAAGGAAGGAATTCAGAAGAACTAGATTTCTCACTTATAGGTGGGAAATAGAGTGGAAAAGGAAGGAGTTTTTTAAAAAAAGAAGATATATTTGATTGAAGAAAAGTTAAAAAAACAAAAAACAAAAATCAAATAAAGAATTTCAAACTATAAAATCATTGTTTCTAATTTCAATTTCTACTTTTTTTTTTCTCTTAAATCAAACACGTAATTGTCTATTTCTATTTATTTCTTCATTTTCATTTACAGTTTTTTCTTTTTCTCTTTTTGATTTCCTTTTACCTAATACCTCGAACGAAAGCAGGGGATTTAGATAATAATTAATGAAAGAATATGATAATCAACAAGTGAGCTTTACCAATATTGATAGACCAATGCAGAAGAGAAATAGAGTTTGACATTGAGGGTGATGGTGACACTGTTGACTGATTTGATGCCAGAGTGTTGTAGTTTTCAACTTTGAAATTTGCTGATTCAAACGTCAGTAAATGCAAGAACTTTGTATTTGTAGGTAAGAAGTAAAGAGGGTTGAAAAATGAGACTTTGGAACCTTCAAATTGGACTGTAATACAGTAAAGTTAAATTGAAACATTAATAATCCTGATAAAATATAACTAAATTTAATATATTTAATGTTTTATTTAACAAGTTGAATAATAAAATTTAACATGTACAGATTATTGAGAAAAAAAATGCTCTTACAAATTTGTTAATAACTCTCTTCATAACACATTACCTTGGTCACTGAGAAAAATATGGAGAAAGAACAGAAGCACCTCCTTCCACACAAGTTTCTAACCTCAAGAAATAGGTATGACATGAAAAGAAAAAGGCTTAGCAATTCTAGTCAAGTGAAACCTTAAGTAAGTATGATACTAGTCCAATATTATTACCGATTCTAGAGATTAACAGAATGATATTTATTAGTTTGTTTATCTAAGTCTATATTGCTATTCTAATCTTCTGAGACATATTTCTCAGTCAACATCAGCAGGAGTACTTCTTTGAGGCAATTGCATGCTTACTATGTCTTCTCTTGGAAGAGAATAGATTGGTCCATTGCCTTGTTCATTTGTCATTTGTTGATTTTCTGATGCTGTTAGAGCCAAAAGGTGTGTAGCCTCTGTATTTTTGCGGAGTACTAGATAGGCTATACCTGCCAAATATATTGCCATGCCTGAAAATCCAATCATTCCAAGAAACACCTTAGCCACAATTTCTATGTGGCTATGAAGAAGCAGCTTGATGAAGCCAGTTATCAGGTAGTATATGTTAATGGCCATAATGAGGGTACCGATTACCCATGTGACAGCTGAAATCTGCAATATGTAAGGTAATCATTAATTCAGCCAAAATGAACAAGAGCCAGCTATTTTTTTTTTTCAATTTTATAATTAAGATTTTTCCCCCTCACAAATTTTCCATGCTTGTTTGTCTGTATAATGAATCTGTCTTCATTCTTGCATGTGTGATGTGAGATGTGAATATGTTAGTTTCTTTTATTATAGATATTTTACTAAACATTATTTAAAAAATTATACTAGCATGTCTACAGTTTTTAACATGATGTAACTGCTGATTTTTGTGAGATATGAAATTAGTGTACTATTTGGTTGTAATCTAGAACTGCAAATTTCACGTTATTAGAAACATTTACCATGGTAGAGTTGACATGTGCCCCCATCTTAGTTTTGCAGCTTGCAAACTTGAGGAGTGGAACCAAAGCAAAAGGAAGTTCAAATGATAAGATCATCTGATCAGAAGAAAAAGAAGGGCTTCATCAGCACAAGCTATTATGACAACAAAAAATATGTGCATGCACAAACAGCAGCATATATAAAATAAGGTCATGCAGACAATTTTTTCATACAGAACAAGTGGTGCATATGTAACTATATGTTACCAGATTTGTTGCCTACTTAATCCCTCTTCAACTGAGTTGAAACAAACAGTGAAGTTATGCATACCAGTGACCATTATGCAGTTGAGTTAAAAATGTGAGAAATTTCCATGATTTTAGTATGCCAATTTAAAGAAAATATTGACTTCAATACAAGCATTATCCAAAGTGAAAAAGTGAAAGAAAATTCGATGGAAATGATATCTTACGGATGCAATTATTATGAGCTTCCCAGCCCCGGCTGATCCACCAATGACTGCAACAATCAAACTAGGAACTATGGCTAAGCAACGAGTTAACATATTCCGAATCCATGGCTCCAGTCGTAAATCAAGAAATCCCTGAAAGAAGAAAGAATTCATGGGGAAATACAAAATCTAGAAACAGACAAAGATCACTAATGCTTCAAAATAGCCATTATGTAAGTGAACCACAGCAAAACTCAGATAACTTTTAACCCCAAGGACCATTAGGGACACTTGTTACTGCCATTAAATGCTTAAAGGATATGGCAGGTTTATTGAACATTAAAATACCACACATAATTAGCACATGATTCATCTATACTTAAATCTGATGAAATTATGAATTGTCATTTTCTAAGATCAACAGTGATTCTTTTCTAGTTAAGATGTAGACATATTCTATTATCTTTTATGCAAAAAAAAAGAAGTAAACAAATCCATAAAACAAATTACCTGCATAACATACTGCCCTGCATATGTTCCTGTTATAGTAGAACTTTGACCCGATGCAAGCAAAGCAATTCCAAACAGTTTTGAACTCCATTTCCCCAAGACATTCTGAGTGCAGCACATATCAGATATATCAGCTATGACTTCATTAACACCTTACCAATAACCATTATGTATGAAGCTTAAGGATTGGGAAGAACTGTGGAGGAATCAGTAACTAAACTTAGAACTACAATATATCCAAGGTAAGAAAGATATCTCCATTTTTCACATACTCTAAGTAGGAAGGAGGCTTCGTTCAGATCCAAATTCTGACAGCTCATCTGATCTTCTGCATTCAAATTCGAAGAATTGCAAACAGCACCACTTACAGAAATAACACAAACATTTATGAGGAAGGCCACCGAGAGAGCGAAGGCACTTTCTATCATGTAAAAGCTACAAGCCTCCTGCAGAAGGAAATTGTTGAATGAGACACAAGATACTGCTTTACCATAATCACACTTGATGCAAGGTTTTAACTTTGACCACTTTGTCTGAACGTTTACAAGGTTAAAACACTTGACAAGACCATCCAACAATAACTCAAATTCCAATAAAGTTTACTGTTTTAAAGTATTCTTATCAAAGAAGATGACATGGGAAAATTCAGTTTTAATGAAAAACATCAACTTTGAAAGCTCAGCGCAAAAGAAGAGAGATGGAGAAACAAGAAAATGTTTATCATATTTATCAACCAACTGGGATATTTGAAAATATATGGACCGGATAAAGTCATAAATATCTACAGAATCACATGGATAAACACACTGAAAGAAGTAGAATAAGGTAATAAACATTATTGTTGAAAAGTTTACTACATCTTAAACATCAATCACAACGATAAAGTGTGCAAGGCAGTATCCAAAGGCAAACAACATTAATTACTTGAATCGGACATAAATTTTTAAAGGGGAAAAATTTAAGCATGCATGCAAAAATAAAGATGCTTACCTTGATTCCCCGAACTGATCGTGGAATTTTCCTAGACAGCACCAGTGCTGAGTGCAGGAAGAGATTGTGCCTGAGGAGAATTCATAAAGAAGCATGACAAGAAGTTATATTTTAAAAGAAAAGAAAAATTAAATGGTTGAATAAGACATGAAGAACCCACGGCATAACCATAGCTCCAAGGAGGGAAATTGCGAGACCAGTTGCACCATTTCCTTTTAGTTCTGGCACAAAAAGACCCTTTGTAACTTCTTTAGCATCAGGCTTTGCATATCCAAGCTCAGCCATAAAACATGCAGCAATTGTAAATACAAGAAATGCAATCAAGAATTCGAGTTTCCTAACCTGCCCAACAACAATACAAAAAAGACTCGTGTTGTTTTTACATAGATAGTACCTAATACAACATGCAGTGAAAACCGTATTTTTTTCCAGGATAAGAACAGAATACGATAAAGTACCCCATATTGCTGTAATGCCAAGAGGATCAATGTGCTGAGTCCTGTCAGAAGAACACCAATCCAAACGGGTATGTTGAAGAGCATGTTCAATGCAAAGGCTGTCCCAATTACTGCATGTGTATAATAAAAAAATTCATGAAAAAGATGAATCAGATAAAGAAAAGGAAGAAAAAAATTAAATTGTATGGTTTGTTCTAAAACTAAGATAATTTGCCCGTTTGACTTTCAATTTTTCCTCAAGTAGAATTTCTAGTTACCCTGACCACCACTTTATTTTTGATTGCTCTGTTTGTAGCTCAAATGAGTGGAGGAAAGAAAGGGAATGTAAAATTGCATCACTCCTTTAACTATAAAACTTCACTGGTCTTGATTTAGTGAGTCCATTTAGATCTATATACCTTCAGGAATGTCACAGGCCACTATAGCAATTTCAGCAATAATCCAAAGGATGAAGTTGGGCACCCGGGGATATTCAGTTCTACAATGCTCTGCTAAGTGTTTTCCTACAAACAGCAAAATAAATTGAAGGAATTCAGAACAAGAATACAAAATTTCACATACATTCTAGATTTATTCAATAGAAACAAAATTGATTATCAAATCAAGTACCAGTGACCACCCCAAGATTTGCTGCCATTGATTGAATTACAAGAGCAGCACATGATGCCACCAATATGATCCAAAGTAACTGAAGAAAAAAGGCAAAAGTGAAAAAGAGATAAAGTAGGATTAACTATCACAAGAAACGTGTCAATGCACCTCATATTTATATTGTGCCCCAGCCTGAAGATCTGTCTCAACTGCATGTTATTATAAGAATACCATAAGTATACAGTTTCAGAATTTGTTTTCCCTTCATTAGAGAAAAAAAAAATTAAGAATAGTGTGATCTTACAGTTCCCTGGGTCTATGTATGCAATGGATACAAGAAATCCAGGCCCCATGTAGGCAAATAAATTTTTCCAGCTTCTCCTCTGCAAAATGGAAGCTTGCATGAATGGTGGTTATCAAGTAAACAATGCTCATCAGATGAAATCATTGGATAGAATCCATAATCCTGATAATCTTTTCATTTCATAAAGTGCCCACAATTTAATTGGGGCTTTTGCCAAGACACAACTCAAATGCTACACAGGCTAAACACAAAGCAGCTATTAACTCAGTGCCATGACCTGCGAATAGATTTCTCCACCAAGAGAAAATAATAGGTTTTTGTCAATTGAAAACTGTAACAACTGTTACCATACACTCTAGCCATTTCACGCCGGTACTAAAGCAAATACTACCGTAAGGCATACATGACAATGCAACAAATAATACCACGAAATAGTCCTCAGTCATATCAAACACCTGTCAACAGACTGAAAATTTCTGTCACTTGTTATCTCCACGACATTTTTCAATTCCATGCACGGCATCTTGGTTTAGCACACAAACAAAAACAACTTACCCGTGTATCTAATTTTCAATCTTAAGCGCAGGTCATTTTACCATACAAATGCTGACTAAAAACTGAAACAGAGAATTAAAAAAAAAAAAATGAAGGGATTCAGTGAGAGGCGAAACTCACATCAGGCACAACAATTTGATTAGTATCTGAGTTCTCAATGAGTGGCGCATTGGAAAAGCTTCGGTTGCCAGTGCTCGAAATGAATTGTGGCTGCCCGGAACCAGAACCTGTGATAGCCATGTGTTATCTGTTTTCTTCTTTTTTTATCGTTTCTGCACACAAAAAACGAAGACAAATATGTCAGTACAAATGGGATCCAATCGAAAGGAATCTTTAATCTCGTGGTCCTTTTTAGTTTGGGGGAGACGTAGCGAAAATCCACCCCAGTTGTAGATTCGGGTAAAAGAGATAATCTTTGTGAAGAATAATCAATTGGGACGAAGAAGGTGCAGAAGTGAAGTCTTTAGTTGCATGAGAGTGCAACAGAAGAAAAGTGAAAGATTTAAAATTTCCATTTTTCAACGAAAGAAGAGAACAGAGAGATTGCGTACGAATGAGGTGGAAAAATTAACAGAGCGCAGCCCAATACGATACACCACTCCGTACTGTCTTTGTTCGGCTTAGAAACGAGCAAACTCCAACTTTGACTATGGATGTCCCTTCTATCTTTATAGTACCATGTTATTTTTCCTCTGGCACTTCCACTCCCAGTATAGTATTATTATATAGTAAAAAAACCCATATTTATATAAAACTATCATTTTCATTATTTTAACAATGAGAGAAAATGAGTCAAGTAAGTAAAAAATCAAACCTTTGATATAGACATATAAAGTAAACTATTCTAATAATAAAAAAATAAAAACTCTCGTTTACAATTTTATGAACTTCTTATTAGAAAACGAAATTGGAAAGCAATTTGGTGTTAGAAGTTCGTGTCTGAGAGAGAGAGAGGAAGGGAAATGGGAAAGGAGAAGCATAGGCCATGAAAGGTGTCGAGGAACCATCCTGTGTGTCTGTTCCGTAAGCGAAGACATGTTGCCACGTAAGACCAAAAGTTTTTTGTTGGGACCCTCAAAGTGGTACTGGTCGTAGATTATATTATATTCCAGTTATTGTTCTTACGTTTTGCTTTGAACTACGTAAGGAATAAGATTATTATTTGAAAATTTTTCATTCACTTTAAATGGGTATGGTCCACATTCAAAATTCAAACTCTGTTTACATCATTCACTTAATATATTTTACATTATACTCTATTGAAGTTAATATTAATTTATCTTAAAATTTATATATTTATTGTTAACAATGTCAGTGACTTAAGTATTAAAGTATCTTTTACCAATAACTTTTCACGATAATAAAAAAAATGAACGAACGAAAATTTATTTTAAATTCCATCTTTGACTCAATGAAAACATGGGATGTAATAAACAATTTATATTTTGTGAGAAAAAAATTATAAGTTTATAAATTATATTATGTGATAAAGAAAAGAAATAAAAAATTAAATATATAAGAGATGTAAACAAAATCAAGATATATATATGTCTGGTTACTTTTATTATTTCTCATTGAAAATGTGGGAAAACACTGTGTGTTGTTTGTTGGAGGTCCTATGTTGTACTCTTCTCACTGGGCCCCGTTTGGATTCTGCTAAAGGGACAGCTCCACCATAACTCATTCAACAATGGCCCTTATTTTTGTGACATTTTCTCCTTTATAAAAATTTGAAATCAGTGATAATGCAAGTGGGCCCATAACGCATAGTTAACGGTTGTGGGCTAAAGACTGATCCATTCCCAGAACATTCTTTCTTTTCTTTTCAACCCAATCCGCAATTGCGACCCAAAAAAATCTAATAGGAGAAAATGTTAAGAGCCAACAAAAACATACTTTTCTTATCATATTCTACAGTACAGCCCAAAACCAAAAGGTAGAGCTGCAGCAACTGTTTTTTCTTTCCACCACAAATACAAGAATATCTTTTATTCTTTTCAAATATTTTATTTATTAACCAGTTTGAGTTTGCTTTTATTCCCTGTTGTCACATTTTTCTATTTCTTTACACATCAAATACAGTTTTGTGTGTGCAAATTTTCGTTATTCATAATAATATTTTGAATTATTTATTCTGTTTGATAAATTTTAATATTCTATTTTTTAATATTCTCACCTTAAGAGAGGATCATTACGAATAAAACTATCCAAACAATTGTCTACGTAGAAAAAAAAGAGAGAGTCGAATGTTGACCCTGAAATTGGTAGCATCCAAATTCAGTATTAAGATTGAAGTGAATAAATATATTTATTCCCTAATTCCCTACGTTGGTTCTGGCTAATCTTTAGAGTCTTGGGTCTATGGAATTCATCATAGGACATGGTACATTGATTTCAAATGTTTTCTCTGAGAAAATAAATATTTTAATTACCTTTAATCTCAATTTCTAAAAATTGAGATTCAAGTGAGTCTAATTTAGTTGGTAACGGTGAATGCCTATGTGTTATTCTAAAACTTAATAATGATTCAATGGATAGTAGTCACATGTGAGACTATATATAATTAAAGAGAATTTTGTGAATCTTAGATTTTGTTCACCTAAATCGATTTGAGAGAGAGTGATAGAATTAATTTGAGAGGATTTGAAGTTAAATTTTTGTTATTTATTTGAGTAGTTTTAGAAGTAAGTGAAATAGATTTGAAAGTAAAGTTTATGTGATTTAGAATTTGATTAATGTGACAGATTAAAAAAATTTACTTCTAAATTCAGTCTCACTTACTCCAAAATCAATTCAAATAAACAAAAAAAATTCACCTTCAAATATTCTCAAATCCATTCAATCAATCTCCTCCAAATTCATTCAAATGAACAAAGTGTTAAAAATGAAAAAGATAAATTACAAATAAGATGAATGATTTCAAGTGAAAAAAAAAATAAAAAGACAAAGAACAAAGAAATCCATAGACATCGTTAAAAGAATCTCTTACAAAACCACATCTTATATAATACATAAATGATAAGAAGTACTACATAAAAAGTTGGTTGGATGATTGAAGATGGTTAGAGCCTTCAGTTGTATAGGGATATTATGGATATATTTAATGCATTGATTTTTTTTTGCATGAAAATGGTGGTGTAGGATTAGGATAAACTTTAATGGATGGGCCTCATCTATCACATCTATGTTTCCCCACTTTTCTTCAAAACCAGAAAATTGTACCATTGCACTAATTTCTTGGATTTTTGCTTTTTTTTTTCATAAATTGGTTCTTTTACGAGAATAGGCAGATTTTTAAAAATCATATAAATAAATAAATTGTGTAACTTTCACACAACTTTATGAAATATGATAATCGATTACATTATCCTGAAGTCATTAGGTGCAAAATACCGATTACCAGTAAATTTTATTCATATTATCCACAAGTGTAATTGGTTATAAGTTTTTCACATAAACATTTTTTTGTAAGAAGTAGGAGTGGAAAAGGTAGATTTTTAAGTCTCTCTCAACTATAAATTACATGCTACTTTCCATCATTGTCTCACCTTATTAAATGTACTCCATTGCACCAATGATAATTTCTTTGTAAAACCCAAAAGTGTAAAAGACAAAATTTTAATTTTCTCTCCACTATAAATTATAATGGATCATAATCGCCGGTCAATCCGACCCACCACGCGTTTGAGTCAGATTGGATTTAAAAAAATTATATTTTTTTATGCAGGTCAGATTTCAATCCAGTTTATTTAAACCCAGTTCATACAAGTTGAACCCGTGATGGACCGGATTGGACCACCAACCTACATACCTAATTTTATTTTATTAAAATTTAATTTTAAATTTTTAAGAAAATATTTATTATTTTGTTTTTGTTTGAAAAAATTATTTAAGTTTCTTATTTTCAAAATTAATTAAACACTCATGTTGGGAGTGAATTTTTAGAGTGAAATTTGTTTAGATTTAAATTACACAAAGTTTGTAATTTTTTTATTTTAAAAAAATTGTAATTAAGTGAGTCAGCAAACTCATTTACTCGTGGTGGGTTGGGTCAGGTTCAAATTTTTCTAGCTCGCTAATAAATGAGTCGGACTGGGTTGACTCACTAAGTGACTAAACCATGGTGGACCGGGTCGGATCGGAGCGGGTGATCTGTTTTGACAACTCTAGTATTAAACCATTTTCCAACTATGTATTATTTTCAAAAAAAATTAAACATAATAAAATTAATAATTTCAATGTTTGACGCATATGCTTATTATACTCAAACTTATACTCAATGATAAAAAAATAACTAAATAATAATAGAGTATGATATTATATATCTTTAATAATATTTGGTAATAAGTATAGCAACTTTATCCTTATTTATTCTAAATAAATATGTTATTTTTTTTATTATATAGGCTTTTATAACTAATTCTTTATTTATCAAAACAATCATAAAACACTAACATTTTTTTTTATTTTAATAAGAATAAAAGTAAGAAAATGGTATAATTGATAAGTATTGTTAATCTATCTATTTATCTCTTTATATATATTAGTTAACTAATAATATTATTAATAATAAATATAATAATATTATATATTTAAAATTAGGGATTTGATAATAACAACCATATTCATTATTAATGAACATATCGGTTATTGAATTCTTTAAATTAAATAAAGTTTAATGATCTCATTATTATTTCTATAATTAAAAGCTATTAATTTATTTATGTAAAGTATAACTTTGACTTTTTCATGGATCGTTTCAGTTATGGTGCATAATTATTCTGTTTTAAAATAAAGTTTAATATATAAGTATGAATTGGAATATATCAAATACTTATATATATTAATATATATTTTTTCCATAAAGGAGAGTCGTGTACTATATTGTGTTTAATTTTTTTTATTTTGAAAATAATATATATAGTTGGACAGAGAATTAACCGTGATTTGATATAGTCCGGAAATGATTTAATATGATTAGTTGTAATTGCTATCAATGCAATATATTTAATAAAACCAAAAAAATGATGGAAAATAGTATATATATATATATATATATATATAGGACAGAGAATTAACTGCCTTTTACACCTCTGCCTTTTATAGAGATGTTATAATGGGTGCCCAACAGTATATTTAATAAGCTGAGATAATGATGCAAAGTAAGTAGAATTTATGTGGGAGAGAGAATTAAAATTTTACACTTATGTTTTATAAAAAAATTATTTGGTAATCTTGTACCCAAATTATTTCAATATAACATAATTACAAGCATTGAAATTGTGACATCCCAAAATATATAGCAATGTATATATGTAGAATGTATCGATTATAATAATAGAAAACAGTTAAGAGTACACAATAGATAGGATTAAGGAGTACAGTTATCCAAGTCTGGCTGGGAAGTCTTAAAACTTAAGAACAAGTTCATAATTCTCCAAAATACATGATTGAATAAAGATTCAATGGGACCTAAAGAGTGTTTCCAAAATACAGATCATGATAAAATGAAGGCTAGAAGTCTTCCAAAATAAAGAGCTATTTAAAATAAGAGCTAGTAGAAATCCTAAGCACTAGGGGTTGGGTCTTCCTCAACTTCCAAAGCTTGCTCCAATGGTACATCATCACCTACTGCTCACATCCAAAGGATTGGATGATCATCGCAAGGGAGAAGACAAA